AACAATGGAAATGTTAGATCTCCGGTTCCCTTCAACAATGCTCATTATAAAATAAAATAAAGAAAACCTGTAAATTGAAACTTTTTAAAGTCACAATAGTGATGAGCTTAAAAGTTCAAAAGTCTAATGTCCTATGGAATGAACGTTGCCTGGAGGTGCATTCCCAAATGCTGCAGTACTGGATGCTGGAAGGCAGAACAGTCTGGAGCTGGGGTCGTTGGGGTCACTGATAATCCTGATGACCTTCTTTCTACATCACTTTGTGTAGAGGTCCTCGATAGATGGCAGCTCCATCCTGGTGATGTGCTGCTGAGCAGTTTTCCCCACCCTTTATAGAGCCTTAGGGTGGTGCAACTGCCGTACCAGGCGGTGTGTCACAAAGTTGTAGTACAGTATATCGGAAAAAGCTTTTTTTAAAAGTCATAGCGTAGTATGTCGAAAAAAGTAATAGTATGGTATGATGAAAAAGTCATAAAAACATCCTTGTATATTATGTCGAAAAAAGTAAAAATATAAGTTGAAAAAAGTCATGTAAATGTCATAGTAAAGCCCAGGGGTCACTAATAGGTGGACCGCAGTCCGGATCAGGACCAAGATGCCGTTGTATCTGGACCCTGGAAGGCACAAGTTCAGCGGCCCAGGAAACACACCGACCAATTACATGCGTTGTAAATCATCTCATGTGATGCTACTTAGCCAATCAAATATGTGTATTCTGATAGACTTCCCGACTCGAGTGAGATTTACACATACAGGAGAGACGGACGACAGACCGAGTAGTCGGAGAATGGTACATGAGTCACATGGTGTTCTCCAAAAAGAGAGAAGTGGTCAGTGAGACCAGAGTCTTTGACCAAGAATGGACAGACTCCTATAAGTTAATTCTTCCCATGGGCAGTTTAAAGCCAGTATGTCTCATATGTTCAGAGACCGTGATGATTATTACCGGCAATGTGAAGCACCACTACCGGGCAAAGCACACAACTTGTGAGCAAACGTACCCACTCGCATCCAAAATGAAGGCACAGAAAACTTATAGTAATAGTATAGTTTAGGGCAGCAGGGTAGCTTTAAACTACTGTATACTATTACTTCATACTATATTAATTAGTAATATAGTAATAGTACAGTATGAATAAAAAAGTCATAGAAATGTTGTATATTATGTCATAAAAAAGTCATAGTAGAGCATTAAAGTCACGAAAAAGTCCTGAAAATATCATAGTATGTCGTAAAAAGCCATGAAAATGTCATAGTATAGTTTGTCAAAATAGTCAAAACAAAGCCATATTATAGTTGGTTCATGCAAATGTCATAGTATAGCATGTTGAAAAAAGTAATATTGTAGTATGTCAAACATTCATAATACAGTATCTTGAAAAAGTCATAGTATTGTATGTCCAAAAAAGCCATGAAAATTTCATAGTACGGCAATATTATAGAATGTCGAAAAAAGTAATATAGTATTTTGAAAAAAGGCACAAAAAATTCATAATATGGTATCTTGAAAATAGTAATGAAAAAGTCATAGTATAGTATATTTTAAAAAGTCATGAAAAAGACATAGTATTGCATGTCAAAAAAAGTAAGAGTATATTATGTCGAAAAAAGTCATGAAAATGTCGGTATCGGTTTTTTGAAAAAGTAAACAAAAGTAATTTAAAGTTTTAGTTTATTATGCCATAAAAATGTCACAAAAAAGTCATAGTAGGTCATAAAAGAACACAATTTCACGATCATAAAAAAAAGCCATACTAGTACATAGTTTCCCAGCGCAATGTTTTACTTTAGACATATTCAGGTGCCAATTTGATAGACATTGCCCAACCCTACTGAGTCAAATCCAAATGGTTTGCATATTTTAGTGAATGATAAGAACAAGACGTGATGTTGGCTTTTTGGTCATTGGAGGGGCTCGCTTACACAAATTGTGTGTGCTACAATGTTAACGCGTCTTAACTGCGTTACTGTCCGTGTATATATGTCACTGTGCATTTTAGTTAGTGGAATATCCACCATGCTTTTCTTTTAAATACAACCTACAGTTGCCTTAGGAACAAAACGTTACTGAGGTATCTTCATGGATACTGCAAAAGTCTATTGGCAGGTCAGCAGCATGTTTTTCCCTTAACATGTACATCTCTGCAAGATTTGTAAGGAGTAATATAATGGGTGCTGGCTTGGCGGCGTAGAGGGAACAGTGTTCGCTCTGGGGCTATAAGCCTGATGTCATCATGTGACCCTGGCAGTCAAGAGAGGTTATGGAGTCTGAACATTCAAGCTACACTTCACAACCACCAGCCAATTGCCTCTCAGCACTTACGGTCCGGCCCAAAACAGAGGCCTGGTTCTTAAGCAGAATAACTGCACCATCATGAATAACTGCACCACCTGTTAAGGTAAGCAGAGAATGGTTAGATTAAGGATGGAATTTGTTCAGATTTCTTTTTAAAATACTGAAATTAAGCACTATGCTATTTTTTTAACATTTCTTTCAACACTACTAAACAAATCACTTCCGTTACATATTTTAGGAACCCCTTAATTCGTTTACAACATCTTTCATCAGTAAGTTGACATTAGGTAACGCAAGTGAGCCATGCCCCGCAACTCGATTTACAGAGGCACATTCTGCTGCTGCTCTGTTCATTGTACTTGAGCATTTAAGCCCTTGGGCTGTAGCAGTACAAGACGACCCTGTGAAATCAGCTGCTTTTCCTACATACCAGTTGGCCTCGGACACAACAGCAGACTGGTTGCAGAAAGATACTAGGAGTCAATGATCTACTTCAGTTGTCAGATGGAATCCCGTGATTTAAAGTCAGAGCCCCTGATGACCTCCTGTGTTCATTTCATTCCATTCAACACTACGGAAATAATCTTTATCAATGAACACATTTTAATACATTGGTTCCTTGCATGTATACATACACCTTTGAAATATGAAAACATCACAATACGACAAAATGAGATTAATGTAGCGATTTTCTATGTTTATAATCGGTTTCTTGACATTAGGATTTCATTTCATGGTTTTGTTGCTCTTCAGGACTTTGATCACAGGCATGGCCTCCGGCAGCATCGTGGCATTTAACATTGATTTCAACCGATGGCACTACGAGCATCAAAACAGGTACTGAGGAGAGACGGATCAATGCAGCAGGAGGGAGTGTGGAGGATTAAGAGAAATACCTACCAACCAGTGACCGAGGTGTGCTGCAGAAGATGGAGGAGAGCCAGTGGGCTAGAGAACATCACCATGGAGACACTAATGAAGAGCAAGGTGTGTTTACATGTGTTCATCTGGCCTCTGAGGCAAACTTGTTGCTATGTGTCTGTTGGTTTTCTTGTCTTACCCACCAGCTGATGCATTTCCCCAACTCAAACAGCTCTGTTGATCTGGGCAAAGAGACACTGAGATCACAGTTACTAAAACATACATGTAAGCGTTAAAGTTTAACTGTGAAAATGCAAAACAAAATGAATCCTCGTTAGGAACATTTATACAACATTTGTATGGCAGATACATATCTCACTGGGAACACTTTTCTTAAAAAAAAAAAAAAAAGAAAAGAAAAAAAGTGAACTTATACTGTAAATATGGACAGTGTGAAGTGTTTCTTCTCTGTAAAGGCTGAGAAAAAGATCTAAATGCTGTTAAACTAGCCACCATGTTACAGACATCACACAAGCTATGTAAAATTGTCTTCATTGAACTTCAGATATTAGTTGGTTAATAATACATGTATATGGCCATTGTTTGCTCATTGTTAACAGTGGTCAAATGTATGTGTATGTGAAACGACAAAATGTTGTTAGTTTGTTGTATTTGATTGTCTGTGGAAGAAAAGTAAAATTCAGTGTGAGCTTAGTCCTTTGTGAAATATTTGGTTTAAATCATGACAATAAATTGTGATATTTCCATATTAACTTTGAATCATGGACCATTTAGTTTGTCAATGCCAGTGGGACATTTGAAACAGCAGTTATCAATCTTTTGTTTGATTCAGCTTCTTCCAAAAACATATCCAGAGGATTTAATACCAGATTTGTTTAGTATCTCATGACTGTTACGGTGTTTGTGCTAAAACTAAGAAATGTTGTCAAAGGAAGTGTCATTTTAAAAGGCAGTCTGCAATTGTTGTAAATGCAAACATTAGTACTGTTACTTGTCCATCTCAGTTTGTTTATTTTGTATATGTCAATTCATGAACGCCAGTTCATGCTGACACATTGGTAAGCAATATTATCACTTAGTTGTTGTAAAGGTCTAAGGATTTCAGCTGACAAATTATCGAAAGGATGGATGAAGTGTTACAAAAATGACTATGGTCTATTTTTGGTGATGTGAAAGCTATTGTGTCTGCATTTAATTGTAGAAGTCTGTCGCTGTGAGTTGAGAATTTAAAATGAACAAAAATATGCAAATACATTTTGAGTTTGCATTTTGATTTTCCAACGGTGCTACCAGACACCACCCTACCCAATGCTGACGTTTTACATGCTCACAACTAATCAAGGCTATGGGTTTACACTTTGCTGTCCTGTGAAATAATTCTCATTGTGAATTTGTATGACAAAAACAATTGTTTACATGTTACAATTAAGCAGTGCATTTTGATTTAGTGTAATATTTTAAAATGCTATAATTTATATATTTTAGTTGCATTATCAATTGTTTTTGCATACATTTTGAAAGAGGTGGGATGTTTGTGATTATAACTAAATTCAGCTGCTTTCATTATTTCTTTTGTTTATAATAAAACTGAATAAATATACCAGTGAGCTTTAACTTGTGTGCCTGCCTCCAAAGCATTCATGCATGTATTAATGCAATCCCATGATAAAGTATGTATAGCTAGTGCTCAGTAAATGCATGCTATAAAGGGAATTTTAAGATGTCATAAGCTTGTTTGATTATACTGCCACCTGCTGTCTAAATTTGTTGCTGCAGATTTAGTAGGTCCACCACAAGTCATCTTGCAAAAAGAAGTCACAAATTAATTAAATCCTTTTTATTCCCAGGTTTGGTTTCATCGCAGATAGCTACATTGTTAGAATTATGTTTAACTACAATTTTTTTTCATTAGTTAAAAGATTTAATGTTTTTTTCTAATCATTTAAATAGTTAACATCCTTACAGTAATGGAATATGGATGACTATAATACAGCATTCACATTCTTCATCCGCTTCCACCTAATACTGACATTCCCAGTTGTCTTAGAGTACCATTTTGTCATAATGTATATAAACTTTAAATGTTTTTCAGATTATGAAAAACAGTCTTGAAAGCAAAACATTCCCAAAAAGTCACCCTGTACTTTTTGGTTCAATCCCTTCTAGTCGAAAACTTAAAAGCCCTTTTACAACAAAGTTAGTGGTGTGATATTACTTTTCTATTAAAATACATATACAGGTTTTAACTTAGCTGTGGTATGACTATAGTCTGCCTTAACTGAACTGCATTCACCAAGACAGCATGTACAAAGACAACAGAAATGACTTGATATCTGACAGGCGTATAGCAAACAGAACACCCATACAACTGATTTAGGATGCATATTAGCACACATGCAAGTTACAGTCTGATGAAGGGAGCAGGACATTCACACAAACACATTTGGTCTCTGGTGAACCAATGTATGAAGTGGTGAGAGAACACAGTCCGGTGAGCAAGACTGCTTAGTACTGACTGAATGAACAAATATTAAAATAATGGATTTTACTGGAAGCACTGTTGTGTTTAACAACATTTAACTTGTTTCTTAAAAAAAAAATCCACGTTGTACAAGAGCCAATAGCTCCCATCTGATAGAGAAGTGTGTCAGTTGGCTGCCAATAATACCAGCAATAGATCCATTGTCACTCATTCCAGCATTTCAAAGGACAAATTTGATACTGTGCTCATTGGGCACTACACCCAATTGTACTTAAATCCATATAAGCCAAGGCCAGGCTTTAAACATGCACTTACTACCAACTACACAGCACTGACATTCATCTGTACCACCACTGAATTACAACCACTCAAACAGACATGTAACAAATCTACTGTTTCAATAATCATCCTCAAGCACCCAGGTGAGCTGGACTATCAATAGTCAAATATTACCACCCTCAAAAAAGTAATGGTACTGGGTGGCAGGACAATATTTGCCCTACACAAAAAAAAAAAAACATTTCAGTACCGATAATGCTTACAGTACAATATAGCAGCATCTCATTTCAGTTTCTTAAGTCCTGTTAAACAGTACGTAAGGTTTATGCACCAGAACCTTAAGTACCTCGGCACAGAGAAATCTAAAAGTCATAAAGTACAGCAGGAAGGGACTCTTACTGTTGTATTGAGAGTAATTGTTAAACAAGCATTGGTGTTTAAACCACAATAATAAGTTAAATTTACCATCATATCACAAAATCATTTAATTTAATGTTTAAAAGCTAAGGTTTGAATGGTTTTTATTTACATGTTCCATTAAAAAGCTAAGTGCTTCATGAAGCAGGCCGTCTTTCCTGCAGTATACAATATTAACCAGTAGAGGGCTCTATGGTACTACAATGAACCAGTGTTTGGTGAATAAATAAGGCGTTTACAGTTTTGTGACCTTTTTGAAGAAATAAAAAAAAGGGAAAACAAAAGAATAGTTGCATGCTCTTAAATTGTATTCTTTGATCTAGAGATCAACTTGTCCCTTAATATGATTCAATGCATTTTATAATTAAAATAAACGTATTATGACTGGGGAAAACATAAATAGGTGCAGGTTGGTATGCAGCCTGTGAATGTCCAGTTCAGCAGACTGAACCCAATGTTGGGTCTTTCCATTTTGCACTCCACCCTTTCCCACCTCCAGAGGGGTAGATGTGGGCTGTGGCCTCTGGGAGACTGTTAGAACTGAGAAGTGGGTGAACGAACTGTGTCAGCCGAACTTGGGGAATAGTCCTCAGTCTCAGAGGTGAACTCAGCGGCGGAGAAGACGGGGTTGGCAATGCGAGAGGCGCTGGCACCGATACCGTGTGGCAGGTGGGGTGCGAATTTCACATCTGGGTGGCGTCTCCGTTGGAAAACTTGCTTCTCCTTATCAAGTGGCGTGGTCTGAGAGAGGGTGACACAGCAGCTATTGTTAGGTGCTCCACATGAGACCCGAGATGAGGAGTGGCATCCAATCAATCACCAGTGAGACACTTGGCAAATGTTAGATGAGCTAAAGTTTGCATACAGCTGTATGTGGAAAAAGCTGCATTTACCGCACTACTATTCTCTTTAGAGTTTAACTTTTTGTGACACAGAAAGTTCAACTTTATCTTGTGATACATCAAAAGCAGGGGCAACAACAAAAGACAAAAAGGTCTGCCACGACAGGTGTGTGACATCTTTATGTATTTTAAAACAAATTTTAAAAATGCATTCTACTCTTGAAACAAAATCCAGTGGATAAATAGTTTCTATATTCTTTTATGGCATTCTATACTTTTACTTTTTTTAAATTACATTTTTTACAGCATACTATGATATATTTGGCATACTTTTCTATGACTATCAGGATTTTTTTGTTATCTTAATGGCATAAAATGGTATGACTTTTTTACGACTACACTTTGCATAATGGACGTGCAACTTTTCTATGTAGAATAAGTAAGCAGCATTTAAACTGAACAAACGAGGAAACAGCTACAGCATTAGTGAAATGAAGGAACGTGATAAAGTGATGGATTTGATAAGTTAGATAAGGGGCGAGGCATGAGAAGGGCTTCATTGTCATGGGCCAAACCCTTTGAAGGTGGTACATGAACAATGCCAGCACCTTGACTTATAAGAACTGCAAATTAGAGGTCATAACCAAGTAAAGCACGTCATAAACTCTAGTTGATGTCATGGTGAAAGTTTCACCCCTCTCTTTTTAAAAAATAAAAAAAGCTCTCACCCAGATGTTTTATGCGTAGTGTGATGTTTCCTTACGGTTTGGTAACGGCTGATGAATCGAATATCGGCTTTTTCCTGCCCCCCCCAAACTATCGGTATTATAACAGCCTTTTAAAAGTCCACTATCGGTTGACTGCATATTTGTGCTATGCTGCGCCATACCTAATTCTAGTACAATCCTGGATGATGGTTGTGAGCCAAAGAAACTGACCTCTGGATGGTGAAGTTCTGGTGCAGCTAAGCAAAGAGAGATGAGCGCAACTCAGAGGATCACCTTGAACTCAAAGAATCACTGACCTGATTAGGATTAAGGTGCTCAGCTCTGAACTTCTTTTTATAACTGCTGTGTTGAGAAGGACAACTGGCATAAAAATGTCATGTCACTATCAACTGACATTCTGTGAACTTTACACAGCCAAATGTAAAAATCCAGTTCAGCTTTGAAACTATTGACGAAATCATATCAACCGAAACCGTGTCTTGTAGGCCAACTTTGTTATTCATAACATCTCCTAATGACGGTGCTGACAGTCAATCTAAAAGAAGTGGATGAGAGACCATAGCACACACAGGAAGCCCTGGCAGCAAGAGACAGATGGATGAACTGATGTATACAGAGAACAAAGCAGAAAGTCACTAAATTATGAATGACAAAAGATAAAATATGGCTAATGGATTAGTTTGCTGCTTTGCCAAACGTACAATGTTAGTTTCAACTGAACCACGACTGAATTTCAATGACATCCAAAGGATGAAGTTAAAAAGCTTTTGCACAGAATGAGGATTTAAGCTGCAGTTACATATAGGGGACACTGGTTCAAAATGATTTTTCTCAATTCTGAATGACATTTAAAGCATCATTGCTAATGCACATAAAAAATGAGCCCAAATGTAATCTACGAATGCAGAGATGCATGCAGTGGCTGTGTGTGAAAGGGTGCAGAGCTTACTGTAATGACTGACACTCCTGCAGTGGTGCTGTTGAGCTTGGGCCCGGTATTGAAGTGCTTCTTGATCTTCCCAGCCACAGGCAGCTGGTGCTTGTTCTCTGACACACCATCATCCTGGAAAATGCAAAGAACAAAGCTTCAGAAACTCTACTTACAGTGCACTCTATCATAGCAGTGTTTGTATGTACATACAAACACTGCCGGTGAAAGGGCTAACTTTACAATGCTGAACTTACATTGACCCAGCTGTGATCAAGCACCTGTACAGCCGTATATCTCTGATCCACCTCTACCTGCAGCATCCCAGTGATCAGATCCTAAATAAAGACATTATTATACTGGATACTCATGGCTAATGTGAGACACCATCACAACACACCACTGAAAGATTGTGGTGTTTCACATGGAGAATAACAATGGCAGATGTGGAGAACACTTCCAGACACCAACCTTGGCAGTCTCAGAAACACTGTCCCAGTATGGTGCAGGAAAATCAAGCTGGGCCCTCGAAAGCTGTTCAAAGTGAGCCTCCTGATCTTCACCACTGCTGTAGAAAATAAAACAGGTATTTTAGAAGCTCAAACTAAGTTCCACATAATAGTCTATAATGTGATGCCATACAATAGACATTCTGAATAATATAATTGAGACAATTTAATGTGGTTAAAACATCATACTTCAAAATAAACACCCTGATACAGGAGCACATACCCACTGAAAGGAGGAAAGCCACACAACAGTATGTAAGTGATGACACCAGCTGCCCAAATGTCAACCTCGAGGCCATACCTGTAATTGAAGAGGAAGAGATCAGGTATCAACTAAGCACATCTGCAAGTAGCAATAGTTCACAAGAATTACTGTAGAAGTTTTTGATTGGGTAAATGGTATTTTTTTTTCTACTTTTCTTTTTACAGCAAATGCCTTAATAATCAAGTCTCAGATGAGGACTCTGGACTCACCCGGTCTCCGCGACAATCTCTGGTGCTACATAGGTGGGTGTGCCACACACAGTATAGAGGGGCCCGTTGACGACAGTAGCCAAGCCAAAATCCCCTAGCTTCAGAGACTTACTACCATCCTGGTGCTCAAACACCTGTGAAACACACACACACACACACACACACACACACACACACACACACACACAATAAGAGAAAGTGAGAAACCGCGAGTAAAGAGGTCTCCAACTCATATTCATTCATTTTGTGACAAAGATTCCATTAAGGTGCTTGATGCGAGTGTAAAATTAGGTAACACAGTGCAAAGAATGAAACAGAGAATTGAAGAAATAAAGACCTGGGAAGGGATTTTGTTGAAATTGCTTAACAGTAAAAACAGACCGTTTTGGAAAAGTACCAGAAAAGATCAACGCAAATACGGATGGTCTCTGTAGAATAAAATTTTCTTTTTTGCATAAATCATTACATAAATATATTATGTAATAAATGCAAAGGCTCAAATAAAAGTGCAGTTGAGACTGAGTTTAATGTAATTGAGGTTTGTGCCTTGTTTTAGTCTCAGGCTTTTCTTTTGCTGATGTGAATGAATGTCCTGCATTGATTCGATTAAGATACTTTATGTATTCTGCTTCTAAAATTTTAGTGAATAGATCAAAGCTATTTTACATCTAGGTCAGACTTTACAGAAGGGATGTGTTAGAAACGTGAGTTCCAAATGACCACAGTGATATGACACAGTAAATACCTTGTCCAATTGTGTCCAGTAATTTCTTTTCATGATTTAATGTATTTATCCTATGTATGTTACATGCCTTCGTGCATGTGTGATTGTTAGTTCTAAGTGCAAACTATTCTATGTACAAACTGAGGAGAAGAGTGACAATGGGAACGGGAAAGAGGAACATGGACCTATGAGGTTTGAAAATGGGAAGCTTTTACAATTTGGCTCCACTCACTGCCAGTACAGAATCTTTGTAGGTCATACTTACCAACAGGTTTTCTGGTTTTATGTCTCTGTGGACAATATTGAGGCTGTGCAGGTACTTGATGGCACTTGCCAGATTGAACAGCATACAGCTGGCATCTCGCTCTGTGTATTTGCTTGAGGAGGTGATTGCATCAAAGAGATCGCCCCCCTGGAGAAAGAGTATTTGGGTTGCTAGTTTTCAACCATGTTAATGGGCTGATGTAGCTGTATCCATTAACAGGAATCAAGTAAAAATCCATTTAGATGGATTAATATAAAACTATGGTACAAAAAAGATGTTTAGTTTAAGAAAAATCTGAACAGAACCTAAAATTTCACAATTATCCCTAAAATAGGATTTCTACTACATTTGAGCGTGAAATTGCTTTGAACAATTAACAAATATGTATTACCTTAACCAACTCCATTACAAGATAGAGCTCACTATAGGTGTCCATTTCCTCAATTAAAAGTACGATGTTGGGATGTTTCACATGCCGAAGGATTGACACTTCACTCTGGATCATGTGCTCCTGGGTAATAAAAGGAAGATCAATCAAAGTAAGAAAATCTATCAACACTGTATAGAGAAAATAATATATACAGAAACAGATCAGTGGAATGTGAGACTGGGTCAAGTTTGCTCTGAATATGAAAGACAAACAAGTTTCTTAAACGTTGCAGAAATTTGGAACGTCAGTTGAAATCATTTTGATCCTCGTTAACACTACTTAATTAGCTTTATCTGATATTAGACTGGTACATGAAAAATAAAGAAAGACAATTTAGTCCCAGAGCAGATAGCACCATCTGCTGATGAAGAAAAATAATGAAAGAGCATCCAAACCAGATCTCAAGATTGTACACAGAAAATAACTTCTTGATAGTGAATTTGATCAAACTTGGTGATGTGATAATTGAAGTCAGCGGATGTAGAGGTAGGGTCACCTTTCCCCTGCATTTTTCTTTGTTGATGATCTTCAGAGCGTACTCTCTTCCAGTGGATCTCTCCACACACTCTCGGACCACAGCAAAATTTCCATCCCCTAAAGTCCTCCCCACTTTGTACCTCTCTGTTATGGGCAGAGGCACTGTGCGGTACTCATCCACCGTCTCAGCTGTGGAGAAAAACAAAAGATCTATAATGTAAAGATATGAACAGTAGCCTTTACATTGCTTGCAAACAGTATGTTTCCACAATGATTACTTCTTACCTTCACTGCCAGGCCCATCTCCTTCATCCATTGAGCTGCAAACCTTGGTAGACGCTAAAGAGAGTGAAGAGCCACTGTGTTGAGATCCCTGGAAATAAGAGACAGCCATGATTTGAGAACGAAAGACACACTGATGCACTTGTTTTACTCAAACCTTAGAGGAGGCAAAGCTTTCACAAAGCCTACTTGTTGCACTCTAACGAGCCTCGAGTATGCTGTTTAAAATTAGACAAATAAAGCTTGGTGAACCATTATACTAACCTTTCCACCAGCATAAAGACTGGCAAGAGGTTACAAAATGGATTGAGAGAAAATAATATCCTCCGCCACAGCCACAATACCAAACACAGCCAGCCTGATGATTAATTAATGATGGTATCACTGAAAATTGGATTTCGCTCCAGAGTAGACTGTGCTATGCAGTCTCAAACTTGCTTGTCCTTCCCAGATCACAGCAAAAATGTGCTGCTGCAGTACTAACAATATTTTACTCAAGAGATAGCTCTAAAGCATCATAGTACATGTACGAACAGAGCTTGTGTTTACCGAGGGATATGAAGTTTGGGCGATTCTTTTTCTGGACAATATTTTAAAGGTCAGAAATCAATAAAGTTTAACGCTTCTGTTTAATTCCATGTCACTAGAATACTTTAAAATAATGTACATTGATGAAGAGATTTGTTGAACTCCTACCCAAAGTTGCTCTGGTATGATGTATGACAACATATAAAATACATCTTTAAGACATTGACATATTTACGGGAACATCCATTTTTATTACCCGTCGTCTTCGGAGGCTAGCTGGACTGGTCGGAGAGGGGCTCGAAGACTTCCCAGATCGAGGTGTGGACAGCTGACTGCCAGCAGTGCCATTAGCTGTCGGTACATTAGAATTGGAAACAAACAATCGGCATAATGATGAAATACTGCAGGATAGACCAAGTGTATATGTCTGCCTACAATCCTATCAGAAAAACTGTGTGAAGATTTAGAACAATAAATTTACTTTCAAGTGACCCACCCACCCACACACACCTGAACCAGTGGATGATGGGGACTTGCTCCTGCGGGACATCCCACCACCTCTTGGCGAAGAGAGACCCTGAACGGAGGGGAGCCGGCCATATGATGCAGACTTTACTACCTTGCAGTCTATACAGAAAGAAAACACTTAAAGACGTACACTGCTGGAGCAACATTTTCCTAGATAATACAAGGCTACCTTATTCAACCATTTTGTCAGACTTGAGTATGTGACAGACAGATACATTTCATTAATATGAAGTATTTTCTTTTGGGTACAACAGCCTATAAAACCACAGAGCCACAAAGTATTAGTGATGACATCCTCTTTTATTCTGACCTGCACATTCATCAAACACACAAACTTTATACCACAACTATAAACTAGGCCAGGCTAATGATAATGCCCTTCATATCAGCTGTATTCAATGTGAAGCAAATTAGTATTTCAGTCCAACTCTCTCCTCACTATAACAACTGTAAGCATAAATACTATGGTAAAGCTGTGACACCACTCCACTAAGGCTATTCTGACACCCTTACATTCATAAGTGGTCTTAATAAAATCAGAAATCAGATCTTCAGTATGTGGTATTTGAGAGTCCCGCTCTGTTTGAAAAATATGGTGTCTACATTTTTAACAAAAAGATTTGTAATGAAAAAAAGGTAACAGGGAACAAGATGGAAGCGACACCTTATACTGCATTTTAGTAGAGCTCCAAAAGGTCTGAGCAATAGCAGTAACAGCACTAGAAAGAATAGATGTATGAGAACAAACCTGCAGAGGCACAACAATAAAAGTTCCACATGTTTGGCCTATCCTGAATTTACTTTGGCCACAAAGAAGGATGGTTTGATGAAAAGCTATTCTCAAACGGCGTTAGTCCCATGTTTTCTCCACTGAGCGACCATATAGATGAAGGTACACTTACCACTTTCATCCAAGTTGAAGTCATCCTGATAACGGAACTTCTCAGGGCCACAGGCAAAGAAGATATCATCCTCCCCAAAAAAGTCCTGAAGGCAGGTGATCTGGTGAAGATGGAGATGTTTCTCTCAATTATAGTTCAAAAACAAGTTTGATAAGTGATGTGTACTCTACCCAGTGACACTGTAGATGATATTAATTCCAAAGACAGTACCTTTTTTTGAAATAGCTGGAACATTCCAAAAAAAAATCAAATGAACAATCTAGAAAGCTACAAGTGTAGGTATTATTTTTCACTCATTACACAGAAAGTCTGTTGCTGCACTCATGTCAAGTTTTTAACCACTTTCAAACTTTAATGAGTATCTTGGTTCAGTATCAGAGGTTACAAACTGAATCCACAAAATAAGCCTCTAATCTCTAAAACTGAAATAAATGATATGGTAGGAAGTTAAATAGTGCCTTTGATGTTTAAAAACTTTTGTTAAAATAATATCACTTTAATCTCATTAATATCAGAGAAATATAAATTATAAGCCTCACTTTTCTACAAAGAGAAACTAGATGACGGAGTTGATGCATCTGCTGTGGTCATTAACACAGCACCCCATCACAGTGGATGCAGTGTCATAAATAAATGAAGATGCTAATGGAGTCCTGACCTTCCACTCAACAGAGTTATTGATGTACTGAACTACAGCAATGCGCCAGAAAATGTTTTAATTTTTCTCGACAGAAGGGTGGACTCTGCAAAAGCTCCATCATCAAAAATGTGATTACATATAAATTATTCGTCACTAAGTGGACATTTGTCTTGTTTTGACTTTGCAGCGAGGCAAAGCTCTACTCCTGGCCAGAAGCTGCTGCAGGGTGCGAAGCTCTTCAAGCCGGAGCTTCCGACTGCAGGTCAAAGGCGTGAGCAAAGCCGGATCTAGGTCTGTCAGCGGAGGGCTGGTCGCTGCCAAAGGCCCAACTGGAGTCTGAGCTGAAGGACTTTCTGGTGAACCTGCATGATTTTCACCTAAAACATGATGTTTGTCTCCGTACAATGTAGTGAGGGACAAAAAGGTTTATAAAACGAGACAATTGCAAACATCTAATATGTACATATTAGTTATTGTCTCATTGTTAAGAACCACGAGGAGTTCAGCAGAAGCCTAATAAGATGAATTAAGTGCTTTGACATGAAGTGGACGGACAAAGAAGCCACCACCACAGTCCGTCAACCCGACTGCCCTCTAACCATATATTAAATGTTATGTTAGCATCCTCCTTAGTTATGAATGTGAATATGGTCTGATTTTATTAAATCTCAGATTATTTTGAAAGAATTGTAACCTTTAAAATGGTCAATTAATTAAGAATACGCTATATGCAACTTTGATATTTTTCATCCAAAATATTGAAATGCTGGATTGTTCACCAGACAAAGGGATCGGAATTACTTTTTTGCACATTACAGATAAATATATAAATAGGTACAGGTAATTCTCACCATGAAATCTTTTTATAAAATTGAGCACAGAGGGAGGTTTAATATGGACATTTTCTCTGCAGATGGTCCACTCTGACAGCCCCCCTGCCCCCCACCCCTCCTCCAAGAGTGTGAGATCCCAAAGAGAGGAGAGATGCACAGCCGTCGTCAGGGAGACCAGACAGAATCACAGCTGAGTTTGAGACGATGAGAGAGACACGACTGCTATAAGATTGTCCCGTCAGAGCATATCTGAGGCACTGGACATTACAAACTGCAGACAACAGAACAATGCCACAATCAGTCTAGGTAAGACAGAATCATTTACAACATCATGTCACTATGAAGATGTGGGTTGAAATCTGGCTTCACACCTATGGTTAATGGTCACCCACTATAACTCTCCATTTCTATCTTAAGCAATAAGTAAATCTGAGTAGAAAGAAGTGACAATGTTCCCCAATAGGATCAGAGATCTAATCAACAATGCACACCCTCAAAACAACAAATATGTGAACAACTATAGAGTGACAAAATATGGATTGCTTCATATAAAGGTTTTGAGTCAAATGTGTCTCACTGATTTAACAAGAGCCACTCTTTATCCGTTATATGTAACTCTTAAATAACTCATATTACATTGATATATTACATTAATTGCATATTGTTCATCTGGAATACTAGGAAATAGGAAAACGCCAAATTTTTGATGGAGCAGCGTCAGTGAGGCATTTGTGATTGTGCTTTATATTGATGCCTGCTGGCTGAGTGACACAGCAGCTCCATAAGGCCTACCATCCCCCTAAAACACACACACACACACACACACACACACCTAGCAGTTCTGAAGCAACCTGTACAAATATTGATCGTCAGGGTTTTATCCGTTTGAAAAACAACGGGAGGTATGCATGCTTTGGAATCTAATCAATCTGAGCCTTAGTACAGACCATAGATTACACACAAGACACAAACTGGTAATAAAGCATTGCTCAAACAGTCGACAGGTGGAGCTCTCCAGGGTGCTGAATCTCCCCTTTGAAGCGCATGACGGTCACTCAGAATGTCAGGGAGAAACATGACTCATCTTCACACGCAATTTTCTAATTGTTCTAGTTCATTTTGCATGGACTGCCCTCATTTACAGTTTCAGAGCATGTTTTACTTTTTTCAAATTTGTATCCTGTAGGATTAAGAATGTCCAGTAGAAAGAGAGGATGGAAAACAGTATCTTCAGTGACATACATTATCCAATATTCAGATTGGGTCTGCTGCAGAATTTTGTGACATAACTGCAGTTGCTGCATCAAAAGATTAGAGTAATAGCTGCCTTAAAAACTGCAAGTCAGCACTGTGAGTACATCCATAAGGACACACCCACAACTCAAGCATACATATGAGCAATAACTCTAGCCCTCACATTTTCAGCATTCCTAATCACAAAGTCCTAGTCTTCAATTTCTATATTTACCTTTTAGTAGTTCTAAAAAGGTATGCATTTTAGCAGCAGATATATTGTGTCAATATATTTAAAATATGTTTAAATGTTAAATTAATGCATATCTATATTTACGTATACAGACATATCTTAGTTCTCATTACAAATGCTCTTACTTTTCTGCAGTGTACAAATTAAAGTACAACAGCAACTTCCACTTTGGCTCAAGCATAATGAGTAGCCTCCCAGAACAAAAAGAGGATAAGGCAGAAAATGTCTTCTCTACACACCAAATGCAGTAGGACAGTGAGCATGTCATTGTTCTGTGTTTAACAGCCAAGTCACAGCAGTAGGTGAGCAGAAAGCCAGACATCCTCTCTACCTCCTTCATCCTTCTTTCTACCCTTTAGTTACAGAGAGATATTTAAAAATAGCAGGGTTTGAAAATCATTTATTCCGTCAACAGCAAAAAAAGTAATTTAATTCACTATGTTACATTCGCACCAGAAGGTAGTTAGTCTTTCTATTGTTAATAAATATCTTAAATACCATCCCTGGGAGGTCTCTTAAAACCAAAACCAAACCTATGTTTACATTAATGTCACTGAATTGCAGGAGAACATCATTTGATGCTCTCTTATAATCATTTTGTGAAATACAACTGATTTTAAAATATGGCCACTATGCATCATACAGGAATGACATCAGTGAGCAGAGACCAATAGAGATTCAGTATGGACACACACAGGCCAAACCAGGAAATGGCAGAGTCAAGGTCAACTTGAATTTTTTTTTTGAGGTTTTACTCTCTGACAAACGGGGCACCATACATTTCATAACGTCTTCCACTATATAATTTCTTAAATGTAAAAATGTTTTTCACATCTACTGATTTACTAATTTTACGAGAGAATTAAGCCTCTGCTTTCGTGCATTGATGTCATCCCATGCTACGTCCTTGGGTGGCTGTTTTGACATCTATTTCAACAAGAAGTGTTGACTCTAAAACACAGAAGTTAGCGATGTGCATAATACCATTACAGAGCAGAGCCATACCATATGGAATGCCATGGCCTAAGTCTCCTCAGACGTACTGCAAATGTTTTCTGCTCCATCCCACACAAACATACCAAGCCATGGCCTGTATTCTTGCTATGGACCTCGTCTGCAGATTGTTTGTTTATTTATAGCTTTCAGTGTGGATAATGTTTTATAAGCCATTAGTCATCTGCAACCCAAAAACTTTAACTTGGCTGTGCCCATTTGGCCAGGGATCACAGCCATCAAGCAGAGCGACCTGAGAAGCAGATCCACTAAACGTGAATCTAAAGACTCGGAAACAAATGTGAAAACAGAACTTGTCTGTCGATGACTTTTGCAGCAGAAGAATCAAGAGGGATAGACATGACTGAATGAAGTTATCAGCAGAAATTATAATAATCATTGTAAAACTGCAGCAAATACACCAATACCAGACATGCATAACAAGCAGTTATACCATGGCAAGGAAATCACTAAGCTGAATAAGCAAAGATACCTCATGTGAGAGATAAATGGAGAACCAGAGAAAGAAATTCTAATATTTTACTTTCAGAGTATACACAATGGACATATACCTTTGATATATTGCAGTGGCATGCCCGTTTATTCTTTGCTAAACAATCTGTATTCTTAAAACAATTCAGAGGATTTCTGGAGGCAGATTTGTTTGTTGTTGTGCAAATCCTTAACTGTTCGCTCTACGCACCATCACAGAATGGGATTAGACCTGAGCCGTCTTGCCGCCATGTGTATCAAGAGGCCGTCAGGCCGAGCACTGCCGCTATGAGCCCTCTCACACTACACCTACAGTCCTGACATCACTACTGCACTGCTCTGCCGCAGAGGCTGTTCCTTAGCAACCAGCTCAGGAAACCATGTCACCATAGAAACCATCAGAAGAAAATAAAATGACAGTATTGTGCGATAAGGATACTAATGCAGCATGCAGGTGATACCGTTAAAAAGCTGGTTATATCTGTGGGATGTTTTGAAACTAATGTTTGTCAGTTGAGCTCTATGTGAAGCAGCCACTTAAGTGTTATCCAATCAAATCAGCCCATAATGGCCCACATCCCCCATAACTGTGATGATATCTAGAAGAATATGAATTACTTATGAGTAAAATGTAGTGTGAAATAAGGCACTTGTGCCAGGATGTCAACAAAGTATAATAATGTAAATAATGGCTACTGTATCTGTGTGTATTACTAACTCACTGAGTCAATACTGTAACTATTCAACAGTGTGCTACTGTTTAGTAGGAATATGACATAGGGTACTAGAAACCCATTTCTTGTAATACAGTTAGTACATTTTCCCAGTTGACTTTGAACCTCTCTCTCTGAGAGAGAGAAATTTTCAGAGAATGACAGTGGAAAAGTTAAATTTCTATAAAACCTCAAAATTCCCTTTCAGCACTAGAATAACTCAGCCTGGATTGAAGGAAATATGTACCATGTCTGCCTCATGTGCAGTGTGCTGATGTAAGATTCTTATGCGAGATACAGTAACACAAATGGGAAGACAGCATGTGGAGAGAACATTTAAACTAAAACAGCAAAATACTAGTCTCCACAACCAAATGTATCTCGGTGCTGCACACAGCCAAGCTATGAACAGATAAGACAAGGTCATACCAGTGATTTATATCCAACAAAAGCATCATTTCTACTTCCCCAATTAATTGATCAGTGGTGGAACAGGGTGTAAGATAATGACAGTCTCTCAGAGTATAGAGAACTTAAAGTTGTCCTGGCTTCTTCCCTTTGAAATAAGCATACTGTAAATAAACAGCAACAAGTAGAATATGGGCTATATAAAAGGGTACATCTCTTAAATGTATGGAAATTAGGTTAATTTTCAAAACAGATTAATCAATGTTTGTTACAAATGTGCAACCAGCTTTACCAACTGCTTCCCCTCTGAGTAAAGGGAGCCCTTGAAGTCACAGACTGAGGTAGGGCAATGCCTATGTGACTTTCACAAACTAAAGTAGATATGATTCCTTAATTTACCAGTAGACACCATATCACATATTGTGACATACATGCTGTAGCTAGCTATACAAACTTAATATTGACTGTGTACTTCAGAAGAAAGTAACATTACACACACAGCTAATGTGTCATCATATTCTACAGTGTATTACATTCTTTTTTTCTGAAGTTTAAATATAAGAATATAAAAAAAATGTTGTTGGACCTAAAAAGTATAAAGAAAAACAACCAAATTATTTTATCTAGCCATTACCAAAATGGAATTTTCTCCAGTGTACCCTACTCGGAAGCATGTTGGGGAAAATGAGCGAAAGTGAGGCTCACAGAATCACCACTAGAAATGAAAACTTAACACCTACCATCTTGCCGTCAACAGTATATAGCTTTTTGACGAGTCCAGAGTCCATCTTGATGGCGTCTGTGATGTCAGTCATGACTTGCTCAAAGGAGTGTGCAGTCTTCTTGTTGAGCAAGATCCGTACGGCTTTGCGAGGCTTTACTCCGCTGCGGACAATGGTTACCAGTTTGGGCTTGATAAAGTCCTTGCTCTCCCTGGTTTCCGGGGATCCAGCCATGGCGCTACCAAGGGAAGAAGGGTCACGGATGGACACAGCAGTCCAGCCACCAACAGCCCAGTTGGGATTTACATTCTTTGTGTAGTCCAGCATCTTGTAGGGCTCTATGGATGCACAAACATAGCTCTCCCCTGCAGCAAATCAAGACAGAAAAAGAGATTTTTGATTTTCCCACAAACAAAAGTTGAAAGATTGGAAGATTAAAAAAAAAAAAGTGATTATCACATGATAGTGTGACACTGGCTTATTCTGTTGTACAAGATGGGGTAAGTCGCGCATTTTGTTTTGATCTGAATTAGCTGGTGGGGTTTGTGGCTTGATTGATCTTACATTACTCAATATAAACATAATCTGGAGCAAATTTACAACAATTCAAGAACACTACTCACCTTCCACCAGCTGGTCCATGCAGGTGATCTTTGTTGTCCCATCAATGGTATATATGGTCCGCACCCCTTGTGGCAAGTTGACATTATCTGACAGAGATCGAGTGAGGTCAGCCAGCAGTGCTTCTATAGACCCAAATCTGTCCTGAGAAATGGCATACACAATCCCTTTGAAGTAGCGGTCCCCATTGCGATAGAAACGAATCTTCTTGGCCTTCTTTTCTGAGGTCAGTTTTTGCAGTGTCCTGGTTCTGTACAGGCTGCAGTGAGCGCTATGAGTGGGACTGGGGAGCCCATTCCCTCTTGAGCCCCTTCGGGTGTATCTGAGAGCCTTGTCCCGCTCATCAAAGTGCTCCAGCTCCATGTCTGTGCAGTGCTGTTAGACCATAAATAATACAGGGAGAAAGCTTAGTTTTTGAATATGCCATTCAATTTGAATTTGTATAAGACATAGTGCAATTAGGCTCTCTGTCAGTTGTTTACACTCCTGATACAGCACTGATAGAGGCTTTGTTGCTACTGCTACTGCTGCTCCTACACACATCATGAATTAACATGTCACACCCATTTCATGCTCCCTTGTGATACTCAATTCAATCTTTACAGCAATGAAATTCACATGCACTTGCAATGGATATTAGACCATCCACCAGTGTAAGGCTGGTACAGAATGGTGGCTGAAAGCGTATCGATAGGTAAACTATAAAAATATATAACATAGCAAGAAAATGGTCTAGAACATATGGATTTTCTTGTACTGGTGCAATCTCTCTTACCTTTGAGGCCAGGACAAATGTAAAGCGTTTTTTTTCTTCCTATAAGCAGAACTTGAATCTCAATGAATCATTTGTTCATTTGATGCCTTGTAGATTAAACATGCGTCCCTTTGTTGCCCCCGTGATGGTGCTGTCTTCCTGCTCGCCTGCCTTCTCCGCTGTGTGTTCGCATGCAAAGAGGAGGCAAGGCTGTAGCCGGTGTCCTCCACCCTCCCCTCCTCTCCCCTTCTCTCCTCTCCCATTCTGCCATCGCAGTGATTTACATCAGACCTCTTGAGGGTCAGCGCTCCTCGCGCACAAAACATGAAACATCAATGCTAGTTTAGCTACATGGTGCGCCTTCACGTTGACCTGCTTGGCATAACCTCATACCTGTGATACTTATAGCTAACGTTACATATTAATACAACAGATCCACATATCGCCATTCACTAATTAGCACACAAGGACAGAATAGCGTTTAAACGGTTAAAGCTACCAATCTACCATATTCAATGAATTTGTAACGTTGTCGTTGGCCAGTTAGTGTTCAATTCAAAGCCAAGTAGGCTAAACCTAACGTTAATATATACAATGTAAATTCCACTGCAGGAAATTAGGTGTTAAAAATACCCTCACAAGGTGACCGAGCAGAGTAACATGCTGGGGTTACAGATAGCGGCTAATACTGCACTCCAAATGTAATATGACAAGGTATCTGGCCTGTTTGAGACCAACCCACACAGGTGTAGGTGATGTTTGTAATTAATTGGTTCACCTGGAGCGCGTGGATAAGTGTGGCGAGCGGGTGACGGACGCACAGGAACTAATAAACATCAATTAAGTATGAGCAGAATACCACCTAATGGGTAATTTGCACGTGTTTTTGTATCCAAATATTCACAGCAGTCTGTCACACTTCCATAGACCAACATCTTGAGTGAATACTTGATGTGGGAGAGGAGTGGGTCTAGGAAGTGACATAATGTTACTTTTATGAGTATCAGCATTTTTGAATTTGTTCAACCTGACATAACCAATTACTTTATTATACGGCTTCTGTCCAGTTGGCCTGCTGCAGGCACAATTCACTTAACATCAACATTTTGAAGGTTGTTTTCTGATCAGGCTGTCCAACTAAAAGATATTAAAACAATGGACAAACTTGTAACTTTGAAAAGTTTACTTTTCTTTTTACCGTCAACATTTTGTATCTTAAAATATTAGTTAAAAATGCTGTACAGGTTGTGATACATAAAAAATGTACTTGACTAGAGAAGAGCATGTTCACGTTTCATCTTCCTTTGTTTAAGTTGCTTCATATGTGAATCAACAGTGTTTTGTTTTTTTTGCTGTAAGGACAAAGGGAGGTTCTTAAAGATGAGCTTGCTAGAGAGAAGTGCTACCGCTCTTCAAAAAAGGAACGTGACCTCCAGGCTTCTCTTCATTCTTACAAGGACCAGAACCAGAGGTTAGACTTCCAGATTGTGTTATCAAAACAACTAAAAGTGGTTAACTGCTAAAATGCTTGTGTTTTCTGCAGTCATAGGGAATTTTGTTTGTGTGCATGTAATTCTGCTAATTTGGGGATAATAATTTTACTGGTGAAACTGTATCAACAATAACTTTTGACTCAAAAGTGTTGAGTCATGTTTGCAGTATATATTCACAAATCCTCATACATTCCACAGGCTACAAATCAGAACATCTTGTTGATGCTTGTGTGACCTTCTGCCCTTTGTCAATGGTCAGTTAGACCAAGCAACCACATTACAGCTCATGCAAGGTACATGAACTACCTGAAGGAGACTCTACCTCCGAGCATGAAGTAGGTCTACTGCATCCCTTTGGCAGCATGGGGAGACAATCTTTTGCTGTGATCATTTTCATGACTTAATGTCTTGTTTTCCACAGGTAAATAAAGCTGTGGAGGAGAATGTGAGTAGTTCCAGGAAAAACATACAAAAGCCACAGAAGATATGGTACATACTGTCCTAGCCAAAGAGTTATTATGACTAACGAAGAATATTTCGCACAGAGCAAAGCCAGCCGCTAAGAAGTCAACTGAGGGTATGAATATTTATTTGCTGTATTGTATTTTGTGTCTTTTGATGCAGTTGTATTGACTAACATGTGTAACATCTGCCATGAGACTACAGATGAAAAATAGCCTCTTGGCTAACTCTGGCACATTTACAGGAATGTTTTATTAATGTGCACTGGCCCTAACCAAATAAACCAATAAATAAAAAATAACTCTCATAAGCACGGGAAAGCAATTTTCAAATAAATGTATTGCATTGTTGGAGAATCTTTCCTGCAGTGTGATTTAGTATTCCATTTCAGAACATGTCTCAAGAAGATGCACTCAGCAGAAGATCTGTCAACAAGTAAATCGGACATCTAGCACAATAACCAATCCTCTGACAACGGCTCGAATGCTTCCTCCAGCTGACGGTCTGACCACAGTGCATGCACAGTGCCCATAAAAAGGACTCCAACCCTGGCTGGACATAAAATATAAAATTAAATTTCCTCTGTTGATGTTCAAATTTATAAGTAACAGAATAAACCGTCAGTTTATTATACTATAAAAACACTCTGTAATTAACATGTAAGACATACAGCCACTAGATGGAGGTATTAGACTGACAGATGTAAGGTAGTGTTTATTACATTTAATAAAACTACTCAAAAATAAAAAAAAATACTGAATTTCTTATTTCTTTAAACATTTTATTTTTTCAGAAAATTCTCAGTATTTCAGGAGGGAAAGAAATCTCAATGGCCAACTGGAATACTAGAAAGCCATTTAACATTTACATTAACCTGCTGAAGTCTTCAAGCTGCGGTTTAGAAGGATTACAAACCAGATCACTCAAAAACAAAAGACTAAACAGCTTTGCAAACAAAATCAGCATCGCACTTCAAAATTCACATTTATCTAAACGTTGTCCATCAAAATAACATCCAGATTTAAATATGAAATACTATAAACATCATTTTGATCCAACTGAAGTAAAATACAGACTATCGCACTGCGCATTGTACCAGAAACCCTCATTCATAGGAGATGGAAAAAAGTCTTAATACGTGAAGGTCTAATAATGCACTATAGACTGAAGTTTTACAGTTGCAGCTTTCTCAAGACATTACATTTTTGTACATCATTTGATGTTTGCAGGCACAGTGGGCAGCAGTGATTATACCTCATATTAAACAACAGTATAACAGACGCTTTTTTGTCTGATTATATCCAAAGATACTGACAAACATAAGATTTTTTTATTCATTCAAAGTATATAAACTGCACTTAGTCTACCAGTGATAAACTCAAACACACAGATGCATCACACAGATTAGGAACGTTTCCAGTGTCTAGTCAGCAACAATTAAATGCTGTCTTAGTACAAAGAGCAGAATTAAACCGATATCTTCCAAATTAAGTGATAATACCTGAAAAAAAAACGTAACCATGTTTTAATTTGAGTTATGAAATCTGCCGTTTCTCTTCCTTTAGGTCATCTATCTAATTTAACATGAAGATTAAAGTGCTCAAGAGCTGTACCAAACTATAGGATATGCATAGAACAGTAGTTATATTGTAAATATAGAACATGTTTTTTTTATAAATAAAGCATATTAAGTTTATAAAATATATTTGATAGAAGAATATAAATGATACTTTAAGGTGTGGCTTAGGGAATGAGGCTATTTGCCCGACTTCTCCACCTGCTTCCCACTCTCTGGTTTCTCCTGGAGCTTGTAGTCTTCCAAAATGGTCCGTGCCGTCTGCTTGCCAGTCTTTTTCACCACAGCTTTGATTCCCAGGTTGTCAACATTGAAGGCAGTGAGGCCAACATTAATGGCAGAATTGACAGCATGGTCTGTGGCTTGTCCTGCGGCCGCCCCGTACCTTCATCAGGAGTCAGATTGAGTGAGAGGTCAGAGCCAGGAGGCGAGAAACAGAAGGATTTCGGGGAGAATTAATTAATATGCGGTGCGAGGATAACAAAGATGGCATGCTGTATGTCAATTGTAGTGTGAGGACTACACCCATGCAAGCGCGATCTTAAATTAAGACATTTCTAAATGCCAGGATCAGAAGTCTAAGGGTGGGAAATATGGATATAATCAACTATAATGATATTTATATTTATTAATTTTTCCATAATAGATGTATATTGAAATTTAAATGAAAAAAAACAATCATTTTTGGCTAATCCAGTTAATAAATACCTGTCAAATCAAGTACTTCCCTTAAAAGACTCTACACAATATTCAGAGCATTAATAAAGTATCAAACAACTATTTTCAATGTATATATGCATAAGAGTAAACGTCAACCTGAGCTGAGAATGAAGTCTCTCCCCCTCTGTGTGTGTTGTAATGGTAGGTTCTCTGTGCTTTGTGTACATGGCCAGGCAGGGTGTGCATGCCTTATAGTACATGTGAGCGTCGCTCTGCACTGAGCTCATATGGTGCTTACAGCTGATAACGACTTTCCGACCGGCAACAGAAAGGTAAACAATGTTGGCTCTCTAAGTACTGTTGTCATTGTTTGCTCAGCCGTCTCCATGTTGAGAGCTGCGTGGAGGCGATAATGCTCCGAATTTCGTATTGAGCACCTTTCAAGGGAGACATTGTACGACAAAAATGGTTGATAAATAGATATCAACTCATAATATGTAACATGATAGCCACCCAACCCTATAGAAATCAATAATCGGCTATATTGTGTCGATATTTTGCTCAGCGTTGGAACATGTAGCACCAATACAAACAATATAGGAAGATTTTAAAAAACAGGTGGGACAGAGAAGTTATTAATTGTGAAATATCCATTAGAAACATTTGGAGAAAGCAGCACCATCATGTGAATTGTTACTCAGGGAAGGGCAGTGGACAGGCACAGAATTAAGACAAATCATTCAGAAGAAATATCATGCTTGTAGTGGTGAAGAGTTGAATAGCTGTGTAAAATTAGGAAATATTATGCTTATTGTCATTAGGTGAGTCAAGGATGTTTTGTAGACCCCTAAATCTGCAAAGTAAATCGAAAAGGGAAATAAGTGAGTGCACGTTTGGTTCTGCGTGTGTAATGCAGGAGGTCCTTTGCAACACACACGCATCAACAACCTGTTTATTAAGCAGGGGTGAGGAAAATGTGCATTGCTTTATATTAAAGCAAGTGACAGTGGTCAAACAAATGATCAGAAGGGAAGGGAAGACCTACTTATGTTTCACGGTGGTGACCGTCTCCGATGCCACACTCGTAGTAATGTCCTTTGCTGCTGTTTCCAAACCAGTCCACATGGTCGCAAATCCTGAGCACATACACAAAACACAAAGCATGTTGGGACCATTTTAGTACTCTTCTGGTAGACAACTTCCTCTTAGACAATACTAAGTGTAGTAAGTACTCTACCTTGCACTCCACTGGCAGCCACCACCATCGCTCCATCTATGTTGGACCGCCCATCCTTATCTTTCTTCATAGACTCTGGGATCAGCTTGCCTCCGTGTTTTTTCACGTGTGGAGCCAACTCTCGACCCACGCAGCTAGCGACCATGCACACCCCGTCCACTGCAGTAACACAGCATTACTTCATTAGACGTCCGCTGCCGAATAACCACACAGGGGGGGAGTGAAGCATGCTGACTGGGGATGACGTAGTCACCTAGAAACTGGCTGACTTTGACGGCTCCTCCTGTCGCTTGCTTGGCAACATGGAGGCCTTTGGTGACTGAGGGGCTGACGTGGGTGGGTTTGTCCTCCGGGGTGATGTGCTCTCGGAGTTTAGATGCCCCTTTGTGAATGGCCTTGCCTGTAAACTCCGCTCCTTTCACCAGGCCCCAGCTTAGCCACGACGCACCTGATAGGACAACGGGATCACACAAGGCTAGTCTCTCCTGGCGGATTGTTAACAAACAACAGCGTTAAGATGTTTGGCGGGAAGATGCGGTTTGACCTCACCTGTCAAGATCCCGCTTGCCACCTTTTCACTCCACTCGGGCAGCGCCTTCTCCTCCTCGGTCACCGCTGGTGCAGTCTCCTCAGGTGCAGCGATGGAAACCTTCTGACTGAGATTAATGGTGTCTGCAGCTTCATCTGGAGCCTGATCGTATAGACACATTGTTTAGCTACTGTAAGACGAGGACAGACGATGCATGCTGAAAATAAGACCTGCTGCATTGTGCAACCTGTACACATCTCCGTTCATATGCTTGTCACCAAGTTAACCCCTCCACTCACACAGTAGATCCTCTCATTATTCTGTGCTTCTCGTTACAATGCACTATTTGTTTGCTTCAAAGAGACAGTCAAAAGGTCTCCGTGCAGTCTGAAAACAGTATCCCATTGTGCTGAAAACCTCACATCTTCTACTTGATCTAAAGAATTTTAGACACAAAAATGCGTACTTGCTGATAAGGAATTACGTCCATCAGAGAAGATAAGTAGCCTGATTGCACGCATCAAAAATGACCTCGCTTGGCATCGATCTGAGCCAGCGTCTCCACCTTCATCGTGGCTGCACTGGCACTTGTCTTTCAGCTGAAACTCTAAAGGTTGTTCCAACTGCTGCAGATAAGAGCATTATGACTGATTAATTCCCCTCGCCTGCCTGTCTCAAAGTCCCACAATGCTGAGGCAGGGGGAAGTTGGAGAAGTGTGCCAGCTCACAAGTAAGACGGAGCAAGAGCTTCATGCAAAAGGCGAAAACAATGAAAACGTTAGATCCTCAAAGTATCGCGTAAGCAGTAACTAAAACCTCTTCGTGGGAGGAAGAGATGTGACATCTGCAGTGTTTGCAATGATTACAGAATATGTGGTGATTTTAGGAGAGTGGAGGTTGTTTAGGGACTGTCAGCACTATTTTTGTGCACTTATGTCAGTCTGCACTTTCATGCAGAATTTCTAAACCAAAAAAATATATATTTATGTGTACATCATTTGCATTTCTTTCATAAGAAATGTCAAAACTTGTGTTGGGTTTTCACAAAACTGACTGTCGGGCAACAATGACCTGAACTCTGAGATCCGTGTTCTGGGAGAGCAGGTCCTGGAACAGCTGTCTGTCTGCAGCAGACAGCTCAGCAGACAGCACCACCCCCACATAATAGCCTGGAGTCGGCGCCATCATGTCCGGGAACATAAACACACCAGTGTTACACAGCAACACTGGCGAGTCCGAGGCCATGAGAGGGTACAGCCAGTCACACACCTGCCAGGAAGTCAAATTAAAAAAAAAGGTAAGAAAAAAATAAAGAACGCTGGAAAATGTGATGATAAATAGATACATGCGTGACGTTATAATGATGTGTATGAGCCCAACATTTTCTATTCATTTCTGAACTATGAAAGTAACATGATGATTGGTTTTGTAGAGAGATCGGGCTAAAACATAGGATTCTAAATATAACCTCGAAATGACAAGCCTTCAATTTCTCATGGAGAGTCTAATGAGTGCAACACAGTGAACCGTCTGACAGAACCAGAGGACACTGTCCCCCTTTGACTGCCGCATGTCTAACTGGATTATAGGGAATACCAGTGGAAGCAGGGTTTAGATCGTTACTCATGTGAATCACTGATGTCACTCGCTGGCAACAGCACCTGGGAGATTCCCCAATGAAGAGTCAAATGTCAGTCTCATGATCCACTAGTGTCAGTGTATCGGCTATTGGAACAGCAGGAATAAACATTGCCACAAAAAAACAAACACAAAATTGCTCAAAACAAGAGGAGTTGGATTTAAAAAAAAAAAAAAAAAGAGATATAAGTATTGATTTAGTCTTAACAAAAGCCTGAGCTGATTCCTTTGCATAGCTTCATGGAATTTATTATCTATGGTACACGTGATAATCCCCTGATTGGTTCAAAGGCCCGATGGTCTGCACACTTGTTATCTCAACAAAAAACCGAACACGATAACCCTCTTCAATGTAGGTGTTACTGTGGTGCTGCTGGCTTTGATTGCATCAGACTGTACAGGTGTATTTTAAGCACCATACTGGGAAAAATATCAGCTTTTGGTGGCATTCGTGAGGAGTGCAACGATGTTTATCGTTTGCGAAACATAGCCCTTAGTTCATTTCTAGTAGGTCATGAGTAAGGTACCATCTGTGTCCTAATCTTGAGCCAGTAATGATCCTGATTTGGGAATTCCCAGGTGGATGACATCATATCCATAAACCCATTGGGCTTAGTGTGCCGAGTAAACAACGCTCGCATGATCGCGTCCATCGGGAGAGGCAAAGGAGATCATTAACAAGCCTATCGCTTCCTGCTGATGACTCACAGTCAAAGATCTTACAAAATCAGGTTAAAGGGCACAAAAATAGACTGGTGACACTGCAGTGATGACATTCCACTTCTTGCATCGGACGGGCATAAGAGTTGCATATCTAGTTCTTTCAGGCTTTGTGCCAGCGAATGTTTTAGGGTGCTGAAACAGGAAATCTTTATTTTATCTTACCTGCAAAAATGCTGGCGGTCGGTTGGGCATCCTGTCCTCGGGGTCACTGGTGAACTTGACCAGCCGCAGGTAGCCCGGGTACGACGGAGCGCTCACCTGCCCTTCAGGCGTGACAAAGAATATCTGCACACCATGAGGGATGCACACCAGCTCCTCTCCATCTTCACCCATGCTCTGCAGAGACGGTGTCGAGTTAGATGTACGGCTGTAGAACTCGTCCCCGACCAATGACATCTCGCCTGAGTCTGTTCCATACGAGACAGATAAGTGGCCGTCGGCCGCCTGAGGAGAGTAAGCTGGAGGCTGTTCGGCTGGAGCCGCAGGCTGCTGTCTGGTGGGTGAGAGAGGTAGATCCTCACTGCTGCATGCAGGCAGGCCTCCTACAGCTCCTGCTGCCCGGCCAGAGAGTGGGTTTAGAGGAGGTGGCCTCTCCGGCTTGTTTTGGGTGGGAAGCTTTGGGTAGAGACCTTTTTCAGACGCCTTTGTGGCACCAGGGCCAGACACGTCGCTATTGTTCAGTGCAGGTGCAGATCCCAGGTCAGAGCTGGTCTCTATTACGGCCAGCCGGGTGGTGATGTTGTTCAGCGTCTCCTGCATCTTCTGCTGCATCTGTCTGGCGGATTCCCAGGCGCTGCCGACACACTCTTCTCCCCCAGAAGGCACACTGATGGCCCGGAGAAGGTGCTGTCGCCCCCGCTTGTACAGCTCCAGGGCCTGAGCCTTGTCCCCAGCTTCATCTACAGTGAGACCTTCATTGATGCACTCAAAGGCCCTCTCATAGCCGTCTTTGATCACTTGAAGTCTGGCACTGTCGAATGCATCTTGTTTAGCTTTCTCCATTCCCTCTGAAATAACACTCACAATTAGCTTTATTTACAATTTGTGTGTCCATCCAAATATTGGCTTACAATCATGAGAGAGAGAGGGGGGGGGGGGTCACCATAACTAGAATTGAACACACTTCATAATGCTTAAAGTTACTTAAAGCTACTCAAACTCCTTATATTTAACTTTATTAAGATCAGCTAATCCACAATCAGTGGACATGTCACATCACTCAGAAGAGAGAGAGACACGTGAAACTGAATTGACTGTTTAGTTTCTCTGACTGATGATTCGTTACCTGATTCTAGTTCTGTGCGTTGGTTCATCTGGTATAAGAGAGGTCGCAGCAGGACCTACAACAGGCTAATGTTGATGTTAGAGTTGCCAACACGAGCTAACAGCAGCTAACGTATCTGTTTACACGCGTTCAGCCGATACGTCATGTCATTGTACGAACAGCAACATAAATATAACAAAGTATTATTATAGCTAGTTTGCACTAACACTAGCGCCTTCTCTAGCTAACGGTTTCCACGCTTACCCCAGTGAGCGAAAACAATCCGAAGATAAGTGTAATCAGCCAGTTAGCTATCGTGTAGCTAACGTGACGTGTCAAAAAGGGTCCGTCTGGCTCTCGAACGGCGTTAATGTCTTAATTAAAGTTGTTCACGACTCACCAATATAGAGTAGTGGTGTTACACACTACTCTCCACAGTATTTACCTTTAAAAGTATCGTGACAGGATGTGTCGACCCTTCGCCTCAAAACGAAAAAATAACGTTTGCCTCGAGCGTGATCTTCACTTTTGGTTTTATTTTGAAAGTATTTACCGGAAGTGTTATCACGGCTGCATCGACGCAAGCTGGACTAACGTTTGTCTCGAGCGGTCTCGAGGCTGAATGGATGGTGACAGGGTAGATCGTATTAGAATCACTGGATTTTACTGCCACCAAGTGGCCACAATGAGAAACTGCAACTGATTCAAATTAGTCAAGTCAACGTCAATTAACAAATTTGAGCATACTAACACTTTCTGGCTTACTCTTACAAAATACATTGACCAAAAAATATATACTGACCAAACGGAACACATCTCCAGCGAACTGCATTGACGCTGGTTTGACTAGTGTAGCAGTTCGTCGCTGCTAATGTGGACATGGCAGCATACTACCAGAGCCCTTTAAAGAGAGAGTCCCGTTATCTCCTTTCACTCCAATGGGGCTTTTTTTGCATTGGAAGTTAGCAGCACTATAGAGTTGCAGCGCAATGGACCGTTCGTGATGCGATTTTATCAGGCAAGACGTTTAAAGAAATGAATTTTATATCATCGCCACACCTGAATGCGCATGTGTATTACAGCATGTTCGTGGATTTTCCACCACTAAATTAGTAGATTTAGAGAATGTTATCAGATAACATATTAAGCTAATGAGAACCATACTGGATAAAGTTAGCAACACATAACGGTAAACGAGGCAAGAACAGCCTCTGAATTTTAAATTCCGTTTAAAAAAGGCCATTATATCAAACGTTGTATAATTAGAGGGATAAAGGCTTCTAAATGAGATTTTTTTTGTGGGATAGGGGGATTTAAATATTAATATTAAATATCATATTTTATGAGTGAAATATAACATTGGGGCGTGTGATTATAGAGTTGTGGATGTAGGTGATGGCATGAGCATATCAACTTTGAAGTAGGAGCCATAATAATAATGTATAACAGAAATAAATAATCTGCACACTACTATTGACGCTGCTTTGACTAATGTGTTGCAGTTCGTCACTATGGCCACCAGAGGGCAGTAAGCATACAAGACTGGTGCAGGAACGATGCCGTTGAACTGAGTGTATTTAAAATTCACGAGTATTTACCGCCCTCTAGTGGCCAATGCGAGAAACTACAACAACATAAAACGTATCAAGTCAGCGTCAATATAGCATGGCAGCAAACTACTACTTCCGGTAAGTTCTTTCAAAATACATTGACGAAACTGAAGTTATCGGAAGTGGAAGGACAAAGTTAGTGGCCAGACTTAATTACGTTTATTCTAGATTTGTTTAGCTGGAAATGTCTTCCACAAAAATACAAAATACCAAGGATAATAACAAACAGAGGGAAAGCAAACAAACAAGCGTATTTGTCCTGAACTCAAATTAATCTTAAAATATTTGAGAAAATTACAAAGTCCTGATTTATTTGTTGGTTACCACTTTACATCAGGACGTGCCCATCAATGCAACATCAACGTGTGTAACATTATGTTATAAAGCAAAAATTACCACTTAAAAATGAAGAAATGATGACAATATGGGTGATTGATGGTTTCCCCACTGTTTAAACAACTGTTGCCACATAATTAATGATTCAGTAGACACATAGTTGTCAGGATCAACGGGTTGAGTGAAGCAGACAAGCCATGAGCAATTCTTCACCTTTCTGTGCTTCATTTAAATTCTTTACAGCGAATGCCAAACTGTGGTAAAATATCATACTGTAGTCTGTATGTGAAAAGTTTGGATGTGTGCACACCTATTATCATAATGATAAGTTATAATGATCATATTTTAACTGCAGTAATTTCATCTTTACTATTATAAACACAAAGTTGTATGAAATATAAATACTTTGTGTGTGTGACATAACATGACTGCAATGTTACTGCATCACATACAAAAAGTATGATAACTTGACCATTTACTTTTCCATGAAGATAAACATAATGGCTTCCATGGTTAGTTAATAGCCAATAAAGTAAGCAGTTAAGGCATTCCTAAAGTACTGGTGGCAGATAAATGTAAATTAGCTTATTTAAATGCAAAGAAAAATGGCTATTTTTCGAGCTGCACCTCTATGCGGAAGTTGTAAATTGACTATGTCTAGTGAGCTCAACAACAAATGTCTGGAACTGAAACAGACTGCTGATACTCGTATTCTGTCTTTCATGAATGTTCACATATGAGCAACATATATGCCCTTCATGGTTTTGCAAGGCTGGTTTCTTTTAAATATATAGAAGCATAGATGTGGTTTGGTCAGAGCACCAATATTTCAATGTGACATAATAATAACAATGTAGTTTCATTGTTAAAGAAACCACGGACTATCATAATAGCTGCACTGTTAAAAGTTGATACCATTACCATTACCTTTATGTTGTTCTCATTGTTATCGTTCTTTATCAACAGTTGCCACACACAAAGAAGCCACATTAAGATTACATGTAATCAAAAAACAGCCTGTCAGCATTCCCTGTGCAAATGAGCAGACTTGATTGTTTCAGTACTCACTGAAAGGAATGATAGCACAATGATAAATGAGGAATGATAACTCAGCCAGCATTCAAATGATATGCACGTGCGCTTGGTGAAAGAAGAAGATAATTCTAAATTGTTTATGGATTCAATTGATACTTAGCTATCTAAGTCAATTTAAATTCACCAAGCTGTATTTTCATGAAGTTGAAATTTTGAGTTTTCCCCTGAATGTAGTAGCTGCCTGAACGGCGCGCACATATAAATTCAACCGCTGTAAATGTTTATGGAACATCTCAGCGGATGAAACTGGACACGAGCCTTGAAGGAATGTGCTGCCGTTTACTACTGATTTTTTACAGGCTGCTCTGTGGATCTCCTCGACGGTACAACTCTTAGATTTTATATTGTACATTTTTGCATCATTAAAAATCAAAACAAAATCATAAAACGTTGCTCTTTCTCTGATATCTTATTTTCCTGGACTGCTGGTCTTCCATTTAATCACTGCGTACACTATAACACACAGTTCATAGTTCATTAATAGTTATTATTAATCATTAGACACAGAACTGGTTTTTTTCTCTGTGCCAGATTTTATTATTTCAGCTCTGGATACAATTATGGGGACACTTTCTAACTTTCTTACTGATGTTCTACACCCATCTTCTCTTTTTTTGAAATAATGACAGGGTATAGGCCAGAAGAAGAGCTGCAACAGCTATCTATGGGTCCAAACAAATGCAAAAACACATGGCACATCACACATAATTTGTAGCATAGATAAAAAAATTCTGACAATGTCAAGTCAAACTTTGAATTAAAAACATGCTTTGCTCTAGTTTTTGCATCAACTGCAGTGGTCACTTGTGATTAATGTCTGCAGTATTAACTTATTCAGCTCCTCTGGTAAACCCATTTAACTGAGCTATCAACATGGAACAAGGAAGCTATGTCACTGTATTGCCATGTGAAGTTAATTACTAAGACACAGCAAAACGATTACATCTACACATGTTGAAATCAATATAGAACATCATATGCTGTCATCAATTAAAGGTATTCTATCAACAAATGTATGAAAAAATAGAAGGTTTAATTGTTGAAATCCCTGTGTCTCCTGTTCGTGAGATAAACAAGATTTATTAAAGTGTGATGGAAGAATTGCAACTATGGACAGAACGAGATGGAATGTGCAACCAGGACAGAGGGGAAAACACACAATTCTAATTAAGGCTAGTGTCAAAACTTGGGTTTTTTTTTTTCCCCACTGAAGACAGAAACTGACAAAACAGAGCAGCTGTGTCCTCTGTCCCTCATTTAGTTATATTTCAGACACAATTGCATGCCTAATAAAATCCATATGAATTAATGCAGTTCCTAATGGACATCACAACCTCAAGTCCCAGTTTCCCCTTCACTGTCCGCTGAGGCTCATCATTCAGTAAGTTATTGTCCCCACAGTGCATACAAATCTCTCCTTGAGGCACCAAATATGTGCTCTGGTTTCAACAAAAGTGTCACCCAGCAAGTTCACAACAACTGTTTAACTAAATCCTGTTTAAAATAATATTCCAGTAGCTGTTTGATACTTTTTTTTTATGTTGAAGTGAAGAAAACCTCCACAGGATGTAATTATTAGGACATAATAATTATTTGTGTCATTGAGAGAAAGGCTCAAAGTGTTAAGAGTATCAGACTCAGACTGACAGAGACGGTCAGGGTGGAGCTCTAAACTGTTGCCTCAGGTATATGTATAACTCATCTTCAGCTTAAAAAGGTATTAGAAGGAATGTGAAAACACTCCATTAATCACAAGAAATGACAGATGGGTGTTAGATCATATCTATAGCGAAAAGCTTCCATTCAGTGTAAATGTGCTCATCCTATCTGCTTTTAGTTTAGATTTTTAGTAAGTGTTCATTGTTCTCAGTTGACATCCTCATAACTAAAAGGAGGCTGAAAAGAAGAAGTTGTATTTTCTATTGGTGGATGAAGAAAATGGGACTGGATCACACTCCCTTGTAAACCTTTCTCTGACCCATGATTTATGGCCAGAGAGATCCTGTTTCTTTCTGATTCCAAGAAGCTGCAGAGTCTCGAGCTTTCAGTCTCGAGGTTAACCAAGACTCAATATTTGGAAAAACACTCTGTCCTCAGAGCAACTGCTGTGTCTTATTGAAAGTGCTAAATATGGAGCGGGGTACAAGTAATCTGAAACAGTCTTATACTCGGTAACATGAAGGTAAACCTTAAGTGCTGGCTCATAATAAATAAATAAAGGTTTCTTCAATAAATCAATCAGCTGTTAAAACGTTGTTAGCTTTACCGGAGGCTATAGTAAGTCCTTCCAGCAATCTGACAGCACTGCACACATGAGCACTTTTATCTCAGGAGAAATGACAAAGAGAACTGACGTCATTTGCACTAAAAAAGGGTATGTTTCCCATAAACTTAAACTTTAACAGGTTGTTGTGCCTGGACACAGCTTAGGTTCAGAGATATTAAAGTACATTTGTTTCCCTGTTGCTGCTTGTTTCTGTGATCTTACATTTATAATAACGTTAAAGATATT